GAAAAAAATGGATTCAAAACCAATGAATATAATGTTTGAAAAAAAAAATGGACTCAGAAGCCCCCTAATACTACTACTGAGTTGAGAACGATAAGGACGCATCTAGTGTAATTTTAACAGGTAAATGGTCCGAGTCAAGTTCGAAAAGTGGTTCTTGGTGCATGGAAAAACGAATTGATTTTAGTATAATTACATCTAAAATATCAGAACTTCTACTTTGATCATATGGATAGTATGTGCGTGTGCCTGGAGCTGACAGTATCGCAGGATTGCTTGCAAGGTATTTATAAAGTTTACGTCCATTAGCGTTTATGGATTTACAATTCCAAGTTGTATGTTTACAATTTAGGTCACCTACTAAAATAATTTTTTTGATAGCTATTTAATATCTTATCAAAGTGAAAATTTTATAAAAGTTAACATATCAAGTGTAGGATTGTAAAATATGCTTTTAAAAGAATTTAAAGTATACTCGGAGCACGTAAAGATCATGACCAGTCGCGCATTCAAAACAACTTCCTCCACCGCACCGCTCGCTATAGTGGCAGTTACCGGTTTCGTATACAGAACGCCTCATGCAACAGAGACGTGCACTTGTTTATAAAATAATAGAACTCACTCCATCACACTGTATAATCGATTGTATGACAGCGTGGCGTTGCGAGACACTCGTCGCGGAAGCAATACAACTATATCTCCCTACCACGTTGTATAATTATTTTATATACTTATTATTCAAATTAAATATTTTAATTTTTAGAAAAAACCAATAAATCCTTCACTTTATTTAGAGTCTAAAAATTAATAACATATTTTAATATAAAAGAAAATCTTTTAAAACTATATTATATGGTTATATCAAAGTATTTATTTTAAATAATATACACGTTAATTGTATCACATTATTACATACATTCGAAATAATTACTATGAATATTTAAACATGTATACAATGAATAAAATAAAAAATATTTTAAAACTATTATACAAATTTACAAATAATTAGGTACATAATTACATCAATCAAATGAATCGTCTTCGTCACCAGATGAGTCAGTCGATTCACCAATTGATAAAATATGACGCGGATCGGGCAGGAGTTTATCTATCATCTCGTCGCAAATGAAGTCAACATCCCAAAACTTCTGTTCCTCGTCCTTCACGTGTCTTATGAAAGACTGCCAATCTTCTGGTTTTACTCTGTCAATGGCTTGATGAAGCAGATGTTTGACGTCGATGGTCTTGTATATAGTGTTTTTTTGACTTTACATATGACTTCACCATTGACCATACCAATTCGATGGGATTTAGCTCACAATGGTATGGGGGCAGTCTCAAAACCGTCTTTTCGGAATCTTTGGCTATCTCGTCAATTATGTATGCACTGTATCTAAAAAAAAATATATTAATATATTAATATATTTATATTAATATATATAATATGGATAGTTTATATTTTAATCATTACCTTGGTTTTAAACGTTGGATGATTTCTAGGAGATCATTTTTGATAAGTTGTGAAGGGTCGATTTCTTCACCTTTAGACACCAGCCATTCTACAATTACTGCCTTTTTCCATTTTGTCGTAGGAGTTTTTCTTTTTTCACGGAGTGATATGGTGCATTATCCAACACAATCACAGCATTGTCTTCTAAAAGAGGCAATATTTCCTCAAACCATTCTTGAAATGTTTAACCAGTCATTTTATCATGATAATCTGATGAATTTTTTTGACTCTAAACACAATAGACCACCTGGCACGAAACCAGCTGCAGACCCAATGTGTACAACAATTAACCTGGTACCTTTGCCATTTGAGTTTTGGGGACCTGTAGATAGACCTTCCAGGAATGCCATTCAACCGGAAGTATCGAGGTAATATACAGATCTACCTTCTTCACGAAAACGACGAATCGAAATTAAATATTTTTTTCTCCAAATTAAAAGGTATCTTCTCTCTGTTAAAATACTATTTCTTTGGCGTTTTGTAAATTTGAAATTCAAGCTTTTCAAAACTTTCCGTAAAGAGGTTTCCTTCATATTTGGCAATGTATTGTTTTCGTTTATAGCGGTTAATACCTTCGCAAGTGTCGGTAGCTCTTTATTTAGCCAAAACGAATATACTTTTCTCCGGATAGCATTCTTGTCAAAATCATCTATTTTATCCACAACACCAGGTCTGTTTCTTTTCCTGTTGGGTGAAGTCACAGTCTTAGTTTAGTTGTACTCGGAGACTGTTGTTTGCACCTTATTCAATCCAATACCAAGTGTATCAGAAATACGTTTCATCAAATCGCGATATTTAATTTTTTCGTTTTCTGATTTTAATTGCTTATAACAATTAATTATCATCATTTTCTGAAAGCTGCTAACAGGCTGAAAATATAAAAATATTAACTATTATTGAAATGATATAACAAAATGATACATTTTGTTAGCTAATGGTATTGCTAATTGTTTTAAATATATTTTAAAATTATCAATTTTGAAAAATTTAAAACAATATTTTCGCAAAAAAAAAATATATATATATTAGCCCAATATACTCGTGTTTTGTCCAAACCGTAAAGAAAAAAAATATTTTGTAATAAAAAAAAAAATAAAAAAAAAATACGTTTCGGTTTAAATATTTTTAGCCTACAACATTTTGATATAAATCTTATCATGATTTTCACTGTTAAATAACAAATATTACTATAAAATTGTTTCAACTTACTTTGCCATGAGGATTCTTCTTCCGTGGAGAAATAAATGTTGCAGCCTCCTCTTCTGACATATTTCACGAGAAACTAACGTACAGAGAACAATTAAATAAGCGCGTATAGAGAAAAATCAAATTAGAGCATACGGAGCAAAATCATACAAGCGCGTACACTGTTCAGAACAGTAATAAACAAACTATCCACTACGACACAGTGTATGCGATTCAAATTTGAAACAGCGCTGTATAACTGTCAACAGATGTTTGGGGAACCAATGAAAAATCAGCTGCGCGTAACGGACGCTAAACGGTCCGCCGGCCAGTCATGATTTTAACGTGCGTCGAGTATAGTACCTACTTAAAGGCATAAAGAAAATATTTATATACCTATATAAAATAAATTGTTATTTTTTGTATTTATTGTATTACCTATACCTATATACAATGGAGGTACAGTTAGTCGGTGACCCGACCTAATAAGTCCGGACATCGCAGACGGAAGAACCACCATAACAGACAACGGGGAGATAGCGTACCAAGCTGGAGCAGTACCGCGACTGGTGGTTTGGCGGGGAAGTATGACGCGGATCCGTGCGACAGCCGTTACCGAAACGGCCGTTACCGACCGTGCCCTTATCTTTCTCATCAACCACCACTCCGCGGCACGCAACGTCGCAGCGACACCCCGTCCTTCCATCCATCACCGGACAGGGGACGCGAGTGGTCGCTACGACGTCTGGCCAGTGTTGCCAAATGGTACAATCCTGGTGGGGAAGTAGGATACTTTTACCTTATACAAGATCCCCCATCAGGCTTTAGTATGGGGAATCCTACCAACTAACTACCAACTATCAAGACGGCAAGACACCATGTGTCCAAGTACCAATGCAGTTTTACATAAAAAAAAAAAATTTTTTTGATTCTTAAAATAGCGTTGGTTTTATTATGTGATTATTATAGCATTTATTATTATTATTTATGTTTATTCCCAACTTAAATAGTTATAATAATATCTAATAATAAATAATAATAACCTCAATAACACGATTGAACAATATTTAGTACTTAAAACTTATATTTTCATTAAATTGATTTGATTTATATTGCCAGTCTGCCTAACCACCATAGTCCATATTGTGTTAATCGTTAATATACTATCATCCTCGCGGTTTTTATTGTAGATAATTAATATAAGTCGTAAATTGTGATCATTATTTCAACGTGGCTTTTCTGTCTTATATTTTTTAACAATATGAGTGATTCAGATGATGATCCACGTTTGAGAACTCCAGAAAAAGTTAAGCGTCCGAGAAATGAATGTTCAGTCAAATTCAGTCACAAAAAGCAAAAGTTTCGCAACGAATGGGTACAAAAAAAACGAATTTAAAAATTGGTTGGTCCCAGTACAAAATCACAATTATAAAGGTAAATGTAAATTATGCAATACTGAAATGACAGCTGAATTAACAGTAATAAAAAAACATATGACATCTAAAAAACACCAGGTTATAATAATTCGATCAACTGAAAAATGTGAAAAACCATTACCGTGTTATTTTAATGACAATTCAAAAAAAAAAAACTTATTGAAGACACTAAGAAAGCCGAGATATTACTAAGTGGTTTCATTTCTGAGCATAATTTGTCTTAAGACATTATGGATCATTTAACTGCTCTTTGCAAAGAAATTTTCGTTGACTCTAAAATTGCCTCAAATTTAAGCATGGGTCGTACTAAAACAGCTGCAATAGTAAAAAATGTCATTGGAAAATGTCATCACGAAGAACTTACAGAAAAATTTAAAACTTACAAATTTAGTGTAATCATAGACGAAAGTACAGATATTGGTACGATAAAAAGTCTATGCATTTGTATAAAATACTTTGACTCAAAATTAAATGAACTTGAAACAAAATTTTGGAAATTAATACAACTATTCACAGACTCATTTTCAAGTATTAACAGCATCATTTGTTGTTGACAATGTACCACTTGAGAATATTACAGGTAGTTATAGTATTTTTTTTAACAACCATAAATAATATAATATTTACAATTACTATCATATGCTATCTACATGAATAAAGACTTTATTAATATAATACATACATATATGCCTTACTATCCATTATAAATTATAATCACTATAATTTCAGTAGTTAGGTGGTTAAAACAATTATGTTAAAATTTATATATTGGATTTAGGATTTGCTGCAGATGGCTGTAGTTCTATGATGGGACAATGGAACTCTGTTTCAAGTAGATTCAAAGAATTGTACCTAGGTAAGATTTTTGATTTTTAGATTGGAAAATTTTTGTTAAAGATTTTTTGTACTTGAATGTTCTAGGAATATTTATCCAAAAGTGCATATGCCACAGCTTACACTTGTGCGCTAGTTCTGCCTGTAAAGCACTACCAAGGCAATGTGAAGACCTCTGTTGTGATATCTACAACTACTTCAAGTCTTGCTGCAAATGAGTATCTCAATTTCGAGAGTTTCAAGAATTTTACGAATTTGAACCACATAGGATACTTAAATCATTACAAACACGGTGGTTGTCATTGGTAATGGTAGTCAATAGGATACTGGAACAATGGCAATCGTTAAAACTTTTTTTTTACCTCTCATTGGCTAAATGATAGATTAAAGGCAGCTGAACATATTTATAAAGCTTTACACGATCCATCTATGTTAATATACTACATATTTTTAAATTATTTTCTTCCGAAATTCACAATTCTAAATAAGATTTTTCAAAGTGATAAGCCTGTTTTAGATACACTTCATGGTAGAATATCAGACTTATATAAAGAATTACTATATTCATATTATAGACAAGTGCTTGATCCCTTTGATGTAGATCCGAACAATACTTCTTTTTTCAAGCCATTGAAAGATATTTATTTAGGCGAGGGTGTATATATTTTATTAAAGAAGCCAGAGATTTCTATCAATAATGATATGCTTTTGGACACGTTGAATCGCTGTAGATTGTTTATAATAACCGCATGTGTTGAAATAAAAGAAAGATATAATTTCAATGACATATTTTTAAAATTTTTGCCACAGATTTCGCCAAAAAATATATTGGGCAATGTTCATAAAAATTCTTTATTGCCCTTCATTACTTTATTTCCAAGAATTGTAAATGAAACCAATCACATATAACTTATTGATGATGAATGGAGGAAACTCATTAGCTACACATTTGAATCAAATATTTTAGACATTATTAAAATTAAAGATGTGGATAATTTTTGGATTTACTTGAAATCACATGAAAAATTATTTACTAATTTATCGGAATTTATTTTAACTATATTATCTTTACCACAGTCTAATTGTGTCTGTGATCGTTTATTTTCCAAAGTTAATTTGATCAAAACAAAACTACGCAACAAGTTAATGACTGATACCTTAAATGGTCTTATTAATTCTAACGAGTGTATAAAACCATGTTTGACCATGTGTTTTGACGTAAATCTCTATGAATTATATTTATTATTATTATTTTATATTTAATATTTAAATATATTGTTATTTTAAATCATTTGTGATGTTGCGGACATACATGAATGTAGGTCCTTACGACTCTTACAGTACAAGCGGGTCCACATAAATTATAAATAGTAGAGATCGCAGAATGATTATGAGTAATATAATATTCGCTATAATAGAAAGGAACTATTAGTTTAAAACACATATTACGAAGACAGGTAATATGTAATAAATATTAAAAACATTATTATAATTAGGCATCAGTAAGACATGTGCAAAAAGCGGATTCGTTAAGTGCACGGAATATAGATAATGGCAAGCCAGATGACAGATGACAGGTGGTTGATATTGGTAGGTCCGAGTCACTAATGGATAATGCGCGAATAGTAATATTGACAAGGCCACTAAGGTAATCTGACATTTGGAAAACAACTTTCGCACAGCGTTGCACGGTTGATCTCCACGGGACCTAAGTATATAAGGGGGTTGGGAATAGACCAATATTCAGATGTGGTTTACAGGTAAAGACGCAAGCACCTTCACGCCACATTATTTCTTATATTAATGTTTTTTTTTATGCTAAATAAACAGTTAAAATTACAATTGAGTATTTTA